CGGCTGAAACCAGCAATCCAAACACAGAAAGACTGCTCATTCTTGAGAACGATTTGGCTAATTAGATGGAGGCTTGGTGTGAGCAGACGTCTCCCGTTGGGGTATGTGTTGTACTAGATGTCTCTTAGGACCACCTCTCAAGGATCTACTGATCCAGTGCTCTCAGCTAACATGTAGTGTTACACATCTCTGAATTTGACCTTAAACATTTCCTTGCCAGCCCCACATGCAGAAAACATCTAGCACATTGTTCTACCGACACCAGATGTTTTACTGTCAGCAAAACCAGGAGAGTGTCACTTTTTTCCACCATCAGCGCTGTGCCTCCGTGAAGAGGGTGGTGCTCGTGTGTCACCGATGTGTTCACATTCAGAGGTTGCTGAGGTTCGGATGAGGTCTGTAAAACAGATGCAGCTGGCAGCAGTGAATGCAGTCAGAAGGGGCACAGTTAAGAGTTTAGGATCACTTTGCAAGACTTTAGCTCTGCACAGCCGTTTTTTTGCTGTATTTATACCTGATTGATACAGACATCCATGCTCTCACCCTAACAAAGAAGATCAAAGGGTTGCCTGCAGTTGTCCTGCCCACTGATTTTTTTGGAAATGACTAGATGTCTAATCTATGTGCTATGCCATCTGCAATAGCTCTCAAGACATCCCACCTTAGGAGCTGATGTTTCTACTTGCTCCAGTGCCCCTCCACCTCTTATTTTGAGAGCAGCGGTGCTGGTTCACCAAGCGAGAACTATGACAAGCTGTCTGCACTGACCTGCCCCATCCTTCTAATGTTGCTGCTTTGAATCCAGAAGGCACTTTTGAAAGTAGCCAGTGTCAACCCACTGCTCTCCCATGTATCAGCTACTTTGGATTACCATGAAAAATTGTTCTCATGCATGGAGTTTGCCTTGCTGGGCCTCAAGCCTGCATCGTGCTTCAAGCAGCCCTGCAACAATATGAGCACTTTACAATCTTGTCTTGGATCATGGAGACCTCTCCAATCTGCTGCCAGCTGCATCCTGCTCTCCTGAAATCACTGATGCATGGCCAGGGGAGGTGGGATAGGGTGGAGAGGGGACAGTAGGGGTGGTGGCCTGCAGAAGTGTGACTCCCTGTCTTTGGGAGAAATGGGAAGGACTTAGCTTGCCTAATGTTGGAGGCTTTTCCATCTGTGCTACCAAGTTTGACCTGACCCCCTTAAGAACAAAATTGTGTGTTGTTTCTCTTTTGACAGGTGAACATGGTTATTGGCATTCTGGTTTTTAACAAACTTGTATCCAAAGATGGAATAACAGATAAGAAACTGAAGGAACGGGCAGGGTATGCCTTATCAATACATCTAAGTAAAGAATAAATAAATAAAAACAAACAAACCAAAACCACCCGATGTTGTGATCAATAACCAGCAAAGGAATGGAAAGAGAGATTGGAGATGCAAACAAAAAGTAGATTTAAACAAAATGAAAGAGAAAAAAAACCAGTTGGTTTAATCTCTCTGCCTTGGCTTTCAGTGCAGCAGAGACAAAGAAGCATCACGGTGTTACTGTGGAGGAAGGTTAGAAGTTCATCTCTTTGTTCAAATGGCTTCAGCCCAGGCTGATGTATCTTCCCAAAGATTAGGGAGAGCAAAGTGACACTTCTCACAAAATCCTAGAGACAGCAGCTGGATCAGAGAGGGGCTCGTCATTGTTGAGGGTAGCACATGGCGTGGGCTGTGTCAGAGAGAAGTCTTGTCTGATGGCTGGCAGGTGGCTGAGGGACAGCAAAGGTATGTGATTTTTAAGGAAAGGGTCTTTGAAGTCTAGCAGTGAACAGATTAGTAGATGGATGGATGTATAATGAGGAGGACTGGTAAGTAAAGATATCTCTTCTGCAAGAAAGAGTTCTGATGCCACCTGAGGTTCTTTATCTTTGCCATAGCCTTACGACAGCCTCCATCTCTGAAGCCTGAGGCTTGCATTACCTGGTTTTCTTTGTAGTATAAATTGAAGAGCTGACTCCACAGTCCTTATCGCCCCGGTCTCACTAGGGGTTGGCTGGGGCAGCAGCTACTGTGCAGGGCTCTCTGTTGGGTTTCTTCCAAACACTATTGACAGTGGGTATTTTGCCACTGACTCTAGCAGGATGAGACCCCCCTTCATCTTTGTTTCTAGAGATGAGTCTATAGCCTACTCAGACTTTATTGCTGAGCTATGGCATGCTCCAAGCAAAGGACAGAAATGGCATGATGACGCTCTGAGTCCAATCAAATGCACAGGTCAGCCTGACTGCAGATGTTAGTATGTTATTTTCCACTACCTTACTTGGCTTGATGTCAGAGAAACAATCTCCTTACCTGCTGCCAGGAAAGACAGAGTTGTGTGCTCTCACTTGTCCGTCGATGGCATTTGATTTGTCACTGTAGATAACGATCGTATTTTTGAGGGAAGAAGTTGTTCATGAAGACCCAAGGAGAGCAAGAGGTGTTCTGATGCCTCCGCACCACAGCTACAGTCAGAGCCTAAAACCGTAGGAAGTTGGTGGAGGTGGCACCGGATACACCCAATCTATGAAAGCAGAGGGAGAATGGGTACCTGCCGCCCTGTTTGCTGTGCTCCCAGGCTTCGCAGGGAGGATAAGCTGCTTTATCCTCTGTGGTGCTGCAAAAGCCTTGGGCCCTAAAATTGGGTTTCTCTGTGTACTGAGACAGCAAGTACAGACAAGGTTCAATATGCCTGTCGTTGCACTATTGAGTAGTTTTGGTAGAAGTGTTTTTAATTGAGTGATTGCAGCAAAACTGAGGGCAGAAGCAAGCTCTTATCCAGCCAGGGGAGAAACCCTGGAACCTGCAGAGGTTCCTGTTTTATCAGCAGTGTTGACCTGCCTAAGTTGCACAGTTCCTTGGAGCAGCAACGAGGGGAATCTCGATGCCTGAGCAGCGCCATGGTCGTGATAATAAGAGGAGGCTTAAGCACGTTTGGATGACCAGAGGGATCGGTTGCTGCTGGGTTGAACATGTATGTGAAGAAGTGACCTTAGCGCGTTGCTTAAGGCAGCTGCTAACATGAGTGCTTTATACTGGATGATGCCGTCTTTACAAAGAGAGAACTCAAGAAAATGCCCAAACTGCAGGCAGAGTCAGTAGCAAGATGACTGCACTTTAAAGTCAGCACTGAAATAAATGGTTTATTGGATTAGCTGAGCAGCAAGTTACTGCCTATCAGTCTCTCCCTCTCTAATCAAACTTATATATAGAATGACCTTATTTAATACATAGCAGCTGGTTATTGATCACATTCATACGTGCACTTTGAAAACAAAACCTACAAAGCAAAAAAAAAAAAGTCATTTTTCTGATGTTCTTTGTTTTTTCTTTCTTTTCTCTTTTTTTCCCCCCTCTTTCGTGTCCGTGTGTGTGTGTGCAGCACTTTTAAGCCTTCTCTGTGCTCAATGATTTTGTTCTCCTTTCGAAGTGCACCCGCTGAGAGTGCGGAAGCACTTTTGAGAGCTCTGGTGCCCCTTCCCTTTAGCTAGCCGCTTCTGGCCTGGGCTTGGGAACCGTGTTGGAAGGTAGATCCGAAGATATTCAGAATGAATATCGGCCTTGGAGATGTTTGGATTTGAGGAGATGGTGTAAAGAAACGTTGTGTTTCCTTTAGCAGAGGCAAGAAGTATGGTTCAGTGTTGCAAAAAAACAAATGGAAAAGCAAAAAAGAAACATAAAAGACCCGTTGAACACTAGGAGCAGCCCAGCATGCAGATCAGATGGCACAAGTAAATCAGGGCTAACAGTTTCCATGAAATAATACCTGAGACACGATAGGTCTTGCCCTATACTTAGCAGAGGAAATTTCTATGATTATTGTTGTCACATCTGTCAGAAAACGTTGACTTTCTAATAGGAATGACTACAATGTCTACAAATGACTTTGTAGACATGTCACAAAACCAGGTTGTAGAGAGTTGGGTGAGATTGCCTGGGGAGCTGGAGAAACCCACACAACTGCCCCAAATCCTGATGGTTACGGGAAAAAACACGCAGGTTTCTCCCAGCAGGTGCTTGCTTGGAGTGGTTAAGAACCTCCCCGCAACTGACTGGTCTCCATTCACATTCAAGCTCTGTTGACGGGAGTGCTACTAGAAACAAATGTTTTAATGTCAGGGGCAGGAGCCTTTAAAATGATTTTTAAATTTATTCAGCTAGCGTTTATTCCAGAAACATTTGTGAGCTCACGCAGCCAGGGAAGAAGAATGAGACTATAGGGTATAGTCACAAAGGCTAATTTTAGCCTGCTGAGTTTAATCTCCCTAGGCTTCCTCTGTAGCTACTGGAGAGAGACAGGAGCCCTATTTAGTTGTTCCGACGTGCCCCTTGGAGGACCTTTACTTCTTTTATCTCTTTGTTGATTATACAGAGGACTTGAGAAAGTTTGTCCCAGTACCTTGTGTGAAATACTCTCTGCGCGACTGTCCTGGCAGGGTGTAATGGAGCTGGATTGTCAGTGCATAGAGGAGAAAGTAATTGGAAAGATAATAACTACATTAAAATAGGAACGGATTCAGATTGCCCTTCTTCTGGGTCTGTTTCATGTCGGAAGCAGTGCTCCTGCTCTTAGGACCGTGCGTGGTGTAAAGCACTGTTCAATAAAAGGCAGCAAAGTCCAGGCTCCAGTGAACACACCAGATGAGTCCGTGAGCTGTTTGTGGATATTTAGGAAGCAGAAAAAACTAAATTAAATGAATGCATTATTCACTGTGATTATTTCATTAGCTACCCTTTCATACATACAGGCACCAATATAAACCTCCTATAGAAATTCAGTATATTAACAGCCTCATGCCCCCAACGAGAACAAATTAGAATATAAATGTATCCACATCTGTGCCTACTGTTTACAACTTTCTGCATAAATACACCTAACAGCAGTTACAGTTGTGTGTTATAGTGGTCTTTTGGCCAGTTCTTTGTGATTCGGTGTCATTCATGTTTTTTCTGGTATAATTTTCCATCAAATTCCTCAAATCAATCTACTTTCTTTTTTGCTGCCTATCTCTGCCTCTCTCTGTCTCTCTGCTTGTCTGTTCTTTGTGGCTTATAGATCTGGGGATAAGCTGTCCTTTTTTAAGGGCTGTGCGCTTAATGCCTCTCAAGACCCAGTTTATCTTTGTTTCAGCCATTGTCCTCACTGGATTTGCACCATCCTTCCTGGGAGATACGTATCTATTGACACAGGAGCTAATTTTCTCTGTGTCTGAAGGATGGAAGTTTCTGTGGGATACCTTAGCCATTATTCTGGAAGGAAGTAATGGCTTGTGTCACTCTAGCTAATTAAAAGACTAATCAATAGCCACTTGAAAGTGGGCCACTAGGACCACTGATAATGCTGTGTTGGTGTTCATGGGGATGTTCTTTTTGCAGTGAGACTGAACACAAAGATGTAAAATTTAAGAAACGATCTGTCAAGTTTCCTAATCTCTCTGCCAGGCAGAGTAGGGCTGTAAATCCCCAACATTGACTACCTGCAAACCTCACCAGCTGCATTGCCGTCACCCAAGAATGACAGACCTACTGTCCGTTGGCAGTGATGTGTATGTACTCTCTGATACCAGGCACTGCATGTAGTCTGTAGGATGTTTTGCAGACTCCTGCCCATTTTCTAAACCAAATCTGGTGTGGCAGTCTATCTGGGCAAATCAGAGTGCACAAAAACAAATAAATTCTGTGAATAAACAGGGCCAAAGCCAAGCTAATGTGGCTTCTGGGCTCCTGAGTAAGAGCTGGCTTGTCAGTTAGGTGGGTTCACATACATCAGCTTCTAAAAATCACAAGGACATGCCCTTTAGCAGATCCTTGCAGCCCCTTTTAGGAACAGCCCACAATGGCCTGATTCTGTGGTTGATCCCACCCAGAAAAAGTGGGAGGAACTGAAAAGAATAAGCCTTAGGGTTCATCCCAAATACTTTTTCAGCTCCAAAACAAGGTGTGAGAGAATAATTGTTTCAGAATAGTCAGTCAGTCTGGCTCCCTTCAGGGCAAGTTGATGACCTTACAAAACACCCAAGCTCTTGCTTAACTCCAAGGATATAAACAGTCCCATTTTCATGTCCTTCATAAAAGATGAAGCAAACAAAGGGTGGCCTATCTCCTGGAACTGTCAGCTGCCATGTGGGTAGCCCCACCAAGGCACGGGATTAACACACAAGGGCCAGTGGAGAAAATATGTGACTTATTCCCTGCATTGCTTTAGGAAAGAAGATGAGCAGACGCAGTCCCCACAGCCCTACTTCTTGCCTTCTACTTTACAACCCTGCCACCTTTTTTGTTTTGGAGCAAAAAGGCC